GTGTGTCACAAAATGATAAAACTTCAATATAATGAAATAACATAAATTCAAATTCACACAGATAAAAGCTTTTTTATGAACATTTTAAGAAGGGACTTAAAAGCGGCAACAGTTGCAAAAGCATCATTATTGTTGCTGGTTGTCATTCTGAACTCCCAGAAGGCCAGACTCACAGGGAGTTTGTAAATCCTTGATATACATGATGGCATAAAAATTCTGATTCGGGCAAGATTTTGTGTTTAATAAATATTAGAAATGTGTGGTTTTCTTTCTATGAAGGTGTTTTAAGGTTTCAGCCTCATGTGGTGCATGTAGAACAGTATCTGTCTAACATCTGTTCATTCCTCTGCTGTTCTGTTGTGTTTAGCTGAAGCTGCAGCTGTCGGAGTGTCAGAGCCAGCTGGATTTGGCCCAGAAGGAATCCCAGGCACAGAAGGAGGAGCTTGCACAGGTGACTTTTACTGACTTAAGCTGCTTTCCAATCTTGTGGATAATATTTACTTAATTATACACCAGTGTAACTGAAGTCAGATGGAGACATTCTTTCCTGAGATGTCACATGCCAAGGAATTTGTAAAATCCAGTGCTTTTATGCATAACCAGCTCAGTAAGTTGTCAGTGACATGTAACACAAAGGGGTTTCATGGAGGGAGGTTATGTAACCAGTGATGAGCGCCGGCTTCCTGTTTCAGGTCAGAGAGCAACTGGGCGAGGTCACGATGAGGGCTCAGAGCGAACAGAATGGCCCCGCTGAGGCTCAACCCAGTCAGGTCAGGGTGCAAACGTCACAGGGCACCCTTAACTTCCTGTCAGAGAGTACTGGACAGTGACTCGGACACTTCTGTTTGTTTTTTAATCGTTTCTTAAATCAGCTTGGTTCAATTTGGTAGAAAGTCAAAGGCACATTTTATTGACTTGCCACCCCACTCTATGTTAGACAGGTTTTGGGTGATCTGTTTCATATAGACACCACGTATTCAAGCCCATGTCCTAAATCAAGGATGTGGTCACAATAAACCTATACTCAGTAACTGATGATAAAGCTGTATTTCCAGTCCGTCCAGTTCTCCTAAGACACAGCAACTGTTTGTGCTAACCATTATTTGTATTGGACTGAGTGGATATAACTCTAACACTGCTCTCTCTCACCTTTGCCGGCATGCACATCTCTCCTCCTTTAGTTTTTTCAATATGTTTTCGGTAGGATTCCTAACAGCAACAAAAATTTAACATTTGTCTTGAGCCTTACCTGAAATAGTGTGAGAGGAAACTAACTTGGCACAAAGGTAGTGCAGCTTCTTTGTGTGAGTGCATTGTTGCTGCTTTGGAGTAAGAATGCTTGTGTACACACACACACGTATGTGATAATCGTTTGTCAGTGTGTATGTTTATTGGGTGTTTGTCTACCATCAGGTGCAGAGTGAGTTGAGTCAGACAACTGAGAAGCTGCATGGGGGGGAAGCTCAGAGGCAGCAGCTCTCAGAGGAGTTTGAGCAGGTAGGTTTGGTTGTTTTTTTTAACTCTTGTCAGACCAGAACGTTTTTATTACACACTCATTGGATAATATCCCTTTGTGTTGTCAAACTTCCAGGCCCAGAAAACGATCACAGAATTTCAGGCTCAGCTGGATCTTCTGAAAGTTTCTGCAGAGTCACCACAAACTGAGTCAGAGGACGTTGCTCAGCTCAAGGTGTTGACATAAAACAATGAATCATTTTTTTTTACATATTTGAAGTCTCTAAAGCATACACCCTCACTTGTTTAATGGAGAGTTGGAG